TGAGATAGGACATGTGAGCCGTTTTGGCCGTTAATGAATAGTTTCGACACAAACAAATTCTATTGATGTATCGATGAAATCAGCTATTCTGAGAGAATATAAAAATGCAGTGAAATACAGGGTATTCTATCTGAAATAACAAAGTTGTTGCTACTTTTTGATAGAAGCGGAAACACTGCATTGCTTAAATTATTTTAAATGAATAGAGCCGTATTCTAAAATATGAGCATGCATATTTTCATCTATTTCTCTCGACTGATTCTCGATATAGAGATATACAGGGTAACTCAGGGTCGATATGGTACGTTAGACGTTAATGGAGAACGGGACATAGGATCATTCTGAAATTTGGGTTACTCACGTAATTGCTCTTAGTCTATCGATCTAAAATATTTTCAACTCTGCGGCGTTGCCGCTTCTATCGAAAAGTAGCAACAACTTTGTTATTTTTAATGGAACACCCTGTATTTTATTGCATTTTCAGATGCTCTCTGAAGAGCTGATTTCATCGATGTATCACACTTGGGGTCTAGCGGAAATGATTACAGAGATATAGGATGTGAAAAATCGACATTTTTCAACATTAGGAATTTTATTTGTCGAAACTATTCATTATTGGTCAAAACGGCTCACGTGTCCCTATCTCAACATCGATGGAATCAGCTCGTCAGAGAGAATTTGAAAATGCAATAAAATACAGGGTGTTCCATTTAAAATAACAAAGTTGTTGCTACTCTTCGATAGAAGCGGCAACGCCGCAGAGCTGAAAATATTTTAGATCGATAGACCAAGAGCAACTACGTGAATAACAAAAATTTCAGAATGATCCTATGTCCCGTTCTCCATAAACGTCTAACGAACCATGGATCGTGAGTTACCCTGTATAGTGTAAGCTCGTCGTGACATACCCTGTATTCCAATTAACCAATATTTATTATCGGTAGGTATAATGTATAATGTAATTATGAATAATATTTTGTAGGTCAAATCTAGTGGTTTGCGAAAGGGAAAAAGACCACCCGTCAGAAGAATCAGACTAAGAAAGAGTGATTGATATTTGCATTTTATTGGCAACTGGTTTGACATTTTGTGAATACATCACTGAATATGGAATGCTATTTACACTTTTTGAATAAAAATTATGAAAATTAATTGATAGCTGATATCCATGGCGGAGTCATGGGCTGGGGGTTCTGTAAGTAAGACATCACTATTGCTGAGATGGATAACATGAATGAACTAAGAATCTGAAAAAGTACATTCATATTATTATATAATTGTAGATTATAAACCTGATGGATTAAAGACGACTTCAGTCCGGTGGTTCATAACAATACAGGGTGTTTCATTAATATTGCACGAAACTTCAAGATCTTTTCGTTTGGTCGTAATTAGAAAAAGAGTTCACTTCAAAGTCATACTGTAACTAAAAAAAATGAACCTTTCTTGTATATTTATGGACCTTTTATTCATCTTTACTGTTCTCTCCACGGGCTCAGAGACAAGCATGGGTTTGGCTTTAATTTTTTCCCTCTAAAACGAAGCCCGATACGAAAAAAAGCCTAGAGCCAAAAAATATGTATTTAGTGGAGTGGAATGATCATGAAAGAAAACTCGAAGTCGTCTCCACAAGTTTAATGTTGAAAAGATGCAATTAATCCTGCTTCAATAAGGTTTGAGACATGTTTCGGCCATTCGAATGGCCATCTTCAGTCAAATTGGAACATCAAAGATGTACAAACACCTTGTAACTCCGAAACGAAGACAGATATCGATATGACGATTTCATCATTCAGTTTTTCATGAGAATCGACCCTCGCGCACCTTCATCAGTTTACTTCCATCTGGTTCGAGAAAAGGATTTTTTCTCCGATTGGCAGCAAATATTATTTTTGCTGACACATATCAATCAGCAAAGTATTACTTTCCTGCCTAGGCAGCAAAGTGGTTACTTTGCTGACTGATATGTATCAGCAAAATTAATAATCCATAAATCGATTATAATTGCCTTCATATCACCAATAAAACGTGTTGGTGATAAGTTCCAAGTGAAAACTGTGTTCAAAACTGAAAATACAATGAGATCCATTCTAACTCAAACAAAGCCAAAAAATGAAGAACAATCATCAAAAAATTGTATTTATAGTATACCTTGTGTTTGTGGAAAGTATTATACAGGTGAAACGAAGAGACCTCTCTCAGTAAGGACAAAAGAACACAAGTACAATATCAACAAAAGACATATCGATAAATCGAAGCTAACTGAACATATCCTCACTGAAGATGGACAACATATGGCACAGTGGAATAATATCAAAATCATAGGAAACGAAGATAACAAACAAAAAAGAAAAATAAAGGAATCCGCTTGCATTCTTCTAAACGGAGACAATAGCATTGCTTCCTGTTCAGTTGATATTGATAGAACATGGTATTCACTACTGAAAACTGAACATGAAAATGGTAGATTCAAGATCAATTAATGAAAACATCCTGTAACTGATTTGTAGACTAAAATCACTCATTCATATGCCAACATCAGTATGACACTGAAAAGTGTCAAACTATATACGCAGCACAACTTTCAAAGAAAAATAATTTGCATTTACATCTTGAGAACGGGGGCAGAATCGGTCCCGAAACGTCCAAAGATAAGTACAAATTCGATATTTTTTCAATATATCTATATTTCTTTCCTTCAAACATTTTTTCAAACAAATTGTCACTGACAAGCTACTGGATTTTTCTTTTAGACTCCCTGATAGAAAAATTTGTTAAACGCAGTGACATTTTGGGGCAAATCATCTGATTTGTCCCTCTACAAATATATTGAAATAATACGAATACTTTTATTTTATAGAAACGAGGAGAGAAAATCCCAAAGAATCAAGTAAAATGAATGTACCACCTCCTCGATTAACCTACAGACAGTATTTACTATTTTTTATATCAAGCTAAGCATATTTCTACTTCAGAACTATATTTTTTGACGTTTGTAGAAAAAATGTTGTTTGCAACTCGAGCGCGAAATACTTTGGTCATCTCGACTATTTTTTAACTCGGCTATCGTTAAAAAAATCAGATCTCGATCACCAAAGTAGCATTTCGCGCTCTAGATACAAAAATAACTATTCAACTTCAAGAATTTCTTGTGCCGAAAATATTCATAATTAGATAAAACAGTTTTTATGTCCCTATCTCAACTTTTCATGTACTATCAATTGATATTTAATTGAAATAGATACAGGGTGGTTGAAAATCTTAATTCGGAACCACTCTGTACCTATTTCAATTAAATATCAATTGATAGTAAATAAAAAATTGAGATAGGAAAATGGAAACCGTTTTGACCAATTATTAATAGTTTCGACACAAAAAAATCTTAAAGTTGAAAAATCTCTGTAATTGTCACTGCTAGACCCCAAGTGTATAGGTCAATGAAATCAGCTTTTCAGGAAAAATCTGAAAATGGAATAATATACAGGGCTCCCCATTCAAAAAATCAAAGTTGTTGCTACTTTTCAATATAAGCGGCAACGTTGCAACGCTGAGAATATTTAAGGTTGATTGAGCACAACTGATTATCCTAGGCACCAAATTTTCAGAATAATCCCAAGTTACGTTCTCCAGAAACGTCTGTGCCTTCCACCATGAATCAGCGTGTATATTGCCCCTTTTTTGAAGAATGACCCATATTATATGTAACGATTCGATAAACACTGTGTTGTGTTCAATAAAATTCGTTATATTGAATTAGTATTTTGAGATGAATCGGATTTTCTATTGAATGAAAAAACGAAAAAACATGTGAAACTTCTACATTTCGGTACTTGCATTTCGTTTTACTTCTTACCTGTTTTGTATCGTCTGTGATACGAGAATTGGCGAAGCTAATGCAGGAACAATAGAGGGCAACCCATGCACACCACTTCAATCGCATCATGAGCCCACACATGCTGAATATCATGCCTGGAAAACGTGAGAAATTATTCGTTTTTATCGTATCTTGTGGTTACACACCATTGTTTTCGAGACGCCTATCACATTTCATTTTATTTCACAAGCAATCAAAACCCCTTCAAAACATCAGAACTAGCCAAACCGCTATCTCTGAAAAATATGTTATTTAATGTTTATCATATAGGTATTTCAATAAAATATTCATATGTCAAATAATATAAAGAGAAAAACTTAGTCTCACTCCAAATCTAAAATATAATTAAATTTTTTTTGGGTACATATGTTTTATCCCCTAGGGGTCATCTTCAGGAATGCATACTCAATGAACCAACGTTTCAAGAAAAAAGACGAATTCGATTTTATTTCCAAATTCAAGTTCTCGAGATATTTGACCTTTTCAAGGATATTCAGCGACCTTTATAATATGTATAAGTGCTCCTTTTTATCGCAAATTAGAGCAATAAATGTCAGTAGTCCAATGAAGATGTACATCCGTGCTTGCAAAGGGTCCGGTCATTATAAATTTTTTATATGTTGTTAGGACCTGAACCAATATTAAAAAACCAGATTTGCAATTTCCAAAGTGCTGTGCGAGCGACGGTATACCCAAAAAAACCATGAAATTTTCGGACTTATTTCAGTTTTCGCTCAATATCTCAGAGAAGAAAGGGTTTGGCCGCTATAGTCACTCCATGAACTTTTGAAGATAACTAAATTTGCTACAATTTTAGGCCAAGGCGAGCTCCATACAGCTATTGGTTCCCAAGATACAGTTCTTCGAAAATGGGCAATTTTTTTTGAAAAAGTGGAATATTTTCAAAATGGTCATCTATTCTGTGAATTATCTTCTGAAATACGCTTCCCACGTCGAATATTATATGGAATGAAGTTGTAGTAAATTTAATTATCTCTCATTTGAGACTAGACTGGTATCTGTAGGCCTAGCGGTTCTCTCAAAAACGGCTGATAACCAAAAACAGTCTACCTTCAGAAGAGCACGAAGGGCGAAGCTGGTTGCTGTCATTTCTCTATACAAACTCCTACAAACACCAGGACTCCCAGCGATCACCAGGGACGGTACTATTCACCCACGCATTCACCGGGTGCGATACTACCTCAGCGCCGTTTAGCCAAGGGAAGACCAAATTCACTACACTCCTGAGCAAGAGTGCACCACTTGCTGAGCACGTGGAAGTCTTTCTTCGGCCAGACTCCACCCCACAAGCCGTGAGAGAAGCAGGCATTAAATGCTTTGTGGCTTTATATGAGGGTGATATCGCGAAAGATACTTTGGACTTCCTGAGGTATAAGACGTTTGTTACTTCAACGAGCATAAACCTCGCTTGATTGCCATCGACGGAAGATGCCGCAGGCCACCATGCAGCAAGGTGCTTCCCCCAAGTGCAGAAGTGGCGGAGTAAACTTGAGTCCTACAGATTGGGGGTGGAAGATGTCTTCTCAGGGACTCACCCCCATCTCCACCACCATGGATCCCGCACCTCTTTCTCTAAAGATCTCATGTGAATGCAAGAAAGGGTGCCCTGGGAGCTGTTCGTGCAGAAAGGCAGAGCTCCACTGCTCTGTCCTCTGCCAGTCATACGGTGGCAAATTGTGCACCAACGTGCCGGATGTAGAGCTGAAATGCTCGGATGATGAAGATGACCCGACTACCGATTGGGCGCCTCTCCCAGCATCCATCATAGCCATCGAGACACCATCATCTTCGTGCGAGTCCAAGCTCGGGCCATCAAAGATGAAAAGAAAGTCATGATTTGGCTCCCTGACACAATAACTACATGTTTTATATTAGTTTCATATTATATGTTTACGTTGATGTAATTTGTCCTTATAGTAGGTACCACGATGTTTGTGCAAGCATTTTAGTATGTAGGTATATATAAAACAACGTTTGATAATGGCGTTATTCCTGAAAGATATACAGGGTGAATTTCCCTTTTCGCATGCGCCCTGTACGACCGTTCTAACAGTTGTGAGGGAAGTAGCGCTGGTGAATTGCGGCGACTCCGTGCGGATTGTTAGAAAACATGGCGTTTTTTAAATCTAATGATTCCTATGTTACGGCACGGCGAGTTTTTCTAAAATTGGGGACACCACTTTCCCGACAAAATCGCCAGATCTTATGCCCCTCGATTTTTTTGTGGGGATATAGGTCTACTTCGATCCTCCAGCCACTACGGAGAAGTTAAAAGACAACATTCGACGGGTAATTAACAAAATTCCTATTGAAACAGGAATATTTGTCAGCGGGTATTCCAACATTCAAGAGAATCATTGCAGGAGTGCTATGAAAAGGATGGACGACATTTGGACAACATTGTGTTTCAGAAGTGGAATCGGCATTCCTGTACTTTCAAAATCTGTCGCAACACTTTTAATTTTGTTTTCATACCATATTGAAAAAGTCACCCTGTATTATCTTTTCTATTTTTCATCGTACAATTCTTCAATAATACCAACAAAAAAAAAACAAAAATGAATAAATTGTAACTGTTTGATAAATACAAAATATAAAGACCTGAGAACATTTCATTCGCATTATTCCCTAAAAACCCACTTATGACTGTTCTTGGATATCTGCCGTTTTCGAGAGAACCGCTGGGCTTACAGATACCAATCTGGTCTCAAAACGAATCATATTGAATTCTCTCCAACTTCATTACATATGATATTTCATGTGGGAAGCGTATTATAGAAGATAACTCACAAAATATGTGACCATTTTGAAGAAATTTCACTTTTTCGAAAAAGTTGCCTATTTTCAAAGAACTGTATCTTGGGAACCAATAGCAGTATAGGGCTCATCTTGGCATCAAATTATAGCAAATTTAGTTTAATTTGAAAGTATAAATGGTGACTCTACCGGTCAAACCCTTCCTTCTCTAAAATATCGAGCGAAAACTGAAAAATTTCATTGTTTTTTTGGGTATACCGCCGCACGCACAGCAGTTTGGAAATTGCAATCTGGTTTTTTAATATTGGTTTAGGTCCTAACAACATATAAAGAATTGAGAACGACGGGACCTTTTACAAGCACGACCCCCTTTTCATGTTTAACTTTAATGTACTACAGGTAAAACATTAAAAAACGTACAACAGCAAGGCACCTAGGGCCATCTTGACACGTTTCTAGTCTACAGAACTTGGGTTTCAAGTTTTTTTAGTTTCTTGTATCATGGTGATGATTATCCTGGTGTCTCTTGTAGATGAAGGTTTTTTCGAACATCAATATGATTATATTCCTCACTGCAGCCATTATGTATTTCCAGGTAATTCTATCGTTCTTGAGAGATGAAGATGTATTCACAATGAAAAATCAATCATGTGAAACAACTTGAAAATGTATAGCGTGGTTCAGTTAAGAAATCGGTCTTTATCCAGTCTGTCTGGAATACAACATTATTTCTGGAACGGAAAACCACACAAAAATTACAGAGGCTTAGCGCGGACAGCTGTCCACTTTCGGTATGTCCAATGGAGTGTTTCGGCAATGTGTCCATGTCCAACGATCTGTTTCGGCGTTTTAACCAAGAATTCTGCGTTTTGTCCATTCGGCGATGTGCGATGGACCCAGTAGAACTTTGGGATTCTGACCGGTATCATCGTCCTCTACGAGTATTGAGGGTATCAAGAAAACCAAGGAAAAAGTAAATATATAACAAAACTGGGATAAAAAGTATAATTTTCTATAAACTAGAAACACATTTCAGAGTAACACGGTTACCTAAAAAATGTTCTTCTCTGTGTTATTATAAAAAATAGCTGTGAATATAATAATTAGCAATTGAATTTGTGATAAATCATAAATCAAAATGAAAAGAACATGGTTGAGAAAATCACAGATTCGATTAGCACCAAATAAATTTTGGTTATTTTGGTTAATTTCATACAAGATACACTGTACAAAATTTAGATAATATACAATGACTAACTTCGAATAACAGTTCCACATTTTACACCCCTTAAAGCGCTTTTCTAAAGTAGTTCCATAACATTTATGCTGTTTACAAAGATGAACACAATTCATGAAATTCAACGAAAAACAGCCACCTAATCTCATCTTCAAGATATTAACAAGGGAAATATTTAGTCTTTCTGTTTTCTATTTGCCATTGGAAGTTTGCCACATTTCATAACAATTTCACATCACACTAGGTATACTACAAATCACTCAGTAATAAAAAAATGAAATGCTATCCATTTTGTTTGAGAAACTAATACAATTTTAAGACACTAACACTTCGCCATGGTCTGATGATTAAGATGGAATTGTACAGTGTTATTACGGTTCAAGGTATATATTCCTATTTAGGGGGATAATATTTGAATAGAAAAATCAATAACAAAAAATATATCCTTCCGAGTTTCGAATCAGAAAAAAATGATAATACTGACTGATTATTTTTAGACATTCGGGTAAAAATAACTTTTTTCTTTCCAACTAATCATTCGGTAGGAGTATGAGATACAATACACCATATTACATCATGACATGTCCATTCAAGTAATTGTTTTTTCTTTCGTGAATCAGATTTTTTGCAATACGTATTTTGTTTCTTTGATGACTTAGATCGATATGGAAAATATATTATTTATTCAACTAATTAACTGAGATATACATAGACCATACTATAAATTATGAATGGCGAACCTATAACAAAATGATCTGATTATCCTGTGAGCCAGTCATTTTCTTGGTAACAATTTTATGGGATGAAAACAATATAATGTCGAATGAAAATTCATGAAAACATATTTATTGATTTATATATATCTGTTCACGGTTCTAAATATTTGTAGATATTATAGCATTCATACTCTAAATTACGTATTTATATGTAGTCAGCCCTCTCAATGGATGAACCAAAAGCTATTTTGAACTGATATTTTTATGGAAAACTCAGAGATGATACAGAGTGTTCCATTGGGAAACGGAAATAATGTCAACAATGCATGGAGGCGACCGAGGTAATTCTGAATATACGAAAAATGGGGTCTACGACTAAATATCCAGTCCAAAAATATCCTGTCAAAAATATCCTGCTGAAAATAACCTTATCATTTATATCCTCAGACAATATTATGTTGAGGAATGGAAATGTTATTGGTCAGGCTATCATTGTCTAAATATATTAATGTGCAGGTTATTTTCGGCAGGATTTTTTTGACAGGATATTTTTGTACTGGATATTTAGTCGTGCTCCCAAAATATGTTATCAACATTGTCGTCATAACTTGGTAGAATTCATTCATCTCGAAAGAAACCAATATTAAAAAATGTGGATACAGAGGGCGTTTAAAAGTATATTGAAAAAATTGAATACGGACCTATTGAAATTCATTGGCATAAAAAAACTGTTCGATTCTATGTTTTGTAGACGTTCCTTAGATTCCCAACGAAATACCCTGATGAAAGGTTTTAGATGAAATCGTTCGGGAATTTTTCTTAATTGTATTAGTCCACTGAAATTAGGATTTTGATACGGAATAATGCATACGAAAGGTTTTAGTGTGTTTTCGGGTATATATTGGTGTCCTTAATAGCTCCTCAAAAGTTCCCTACGATAGAGTGAACGCATAACAATTGGCAACACTCTAAAGATGTTAAAAAAGGTTTTTCTGATTTCTCAGTAAATATTGGTTTCACGACAAATATACCTATATACAAACTAAAAGACGAGAAAATTCTACACAAAATAGTCCAAGAACATATTTTTGTCTCATCCATATTTTTCATGTTAAAGGCCGTTCACGTTTTGGAAAAAATCGAAAATTTTGTTTTCGCTGATTTTCATGAAAAATAGGGTTCAAACATGAAAAAAAAAGAGATATCAAATTCTAATTCGAAAATTTTTATGGACTGGAAGGATATTATGCATGATCTTATAGTTTTTATACGTATACATTGGTGTCAGAAAGTTTCCTCTACTACAAAGACCAAGCAAGACAAGCCAGCTTCGTTTTTACCTGTCGATTCAGGTAGGGTGATTTTATTTACGTAATCAGTTAGGAAACGTGTCATTTTGTGTGACAATGGGATTTCGATGAACGAGCGAAGCGAAATCCAGCAAAACGAAGAGTTCCACATAATGCGTATCCTAATGTGTTACGTGATTTTTTTTTACTTCTGATGAACATTTTTGATTGAACAGATCATAATGATCAGCTTTGCATGAGTTCTACCGGTTATGTACAAAACCAAAAGTCATCTCCACAACTTTTATCATCAGTGATCAAAGATTCAATGGTACAAAAAGTTTAAAAATCATATAATGTAGACGCAATACCAGGGCAAACCAAGAAGTATGTTCCATGTTTGTCTATGCAAGAAATGTGTATTTTATATAAAATATATAAAAAAACTAATTTAGGGCTAAATTCCGATACCGCATCAAACTTCAATGTTTGATGTTTTCCAGTTTAATTGCCACCTTTGGGTGATTTTAGGGCACGTGGGCCCTTATAAAATACTAACCCGACCCTTAAATTAATTTTTGATACAATTTATAATAAAGACACTTATTTTTTTTACATAGAGCATACGTCTTGGTTTGTCCTTTTATTTTCTACATCATTTGAA